GCTCCTGTCACGCCTGCGTCCGTTGTGTCAAACCAGGTCCTCCTGCCACATCCACGGAGGAGCGGACACACGGCCCCAGCGCCGTCCCTGGGGCGGGGGACAGCTGCCGAAAGCGTGGTGGTGAAGGGCTCCCATCCTCAGAAACTTCCCTGCGTGCCCTTCATTCGTTTGGGGTTTGATATATTTTTTTTTTCTGATTGAAATTTCCATTTGGAAATCAATCAAAGGTCTGATTCACTTGGGAGCAAATTGCCGCTTGGGAGCGTCGAGGTAGTAAACATGCAATTGATTAAACACAGGAGCGGGAGGGCGGCTGTGAGAAAGCGTTTCCCAGATACCGCGCTGCTGACGGTGCCGGTTTGTTTTTTAAATTAGCGAGAGCATATATCATGCCGTCTCTGGCCTGCAGCCGCTGGCAGCCAGGCGCGCTGATGGACGGGGATGCCAGCTCACTGCGTAATCTGTTTTCTAAAAGCAAATTGGAATATTAAAAATTCATTCCTCTCCTTGGCTCGTGCCTGCTCTCAGCATTTTAAATAATGAGGTGATTGACTCCGTGCTCAGCCTGGGGAGGATGGCTCGTTCTGCTGACTGTTGCCGCAGCATCCATCATACCCACTGTCTGTCTGCGGGTGCAGCGTCCTCGTGATGGCTCCCAGCCCCACGGGGTGGTCACAGTTGCTGGGGGCTGTCCCCAAGGCCATGGGGCACAGCGGTCCCTGCAAACCCCGGCAGGGATCAGCCCGAGTCTCTCTCAGTCATCGCATCCAGGGACAAGCACGGGGAAAGCCTGGTGGAGGTTTCACGCTGAACCTGCTTGGAGATGGTTGTCGAGGCGGGCGATTTGTCCCTGCATGGCCCCAGCTCCCCCCCCCCGCCAAAGGCTCCATTTTGTGGGCTGGTGAAATTCAGCTTGGCCACAGCTGTGTGACAGACAGCTGGACCCACCCCTGCGCTGGGAGCAGAGTGAGAGCAGGTGTGAGCGGAGAGGGAGTTCAGC